GAATTGAATTTTTTCATCAATCTGGTTTAAAAACTTCAGAAACTCTTCCAGTTTTTCTCTTCCATGTGACTAAAGTGTAAAATAATCATTCAGATACCGCATGAACACTGCCGTTTGTAGCGGTGGCATCTTGAAGCTCTCTTCTATCTTGTTCATTTATAAGTTGGACAAAAATGGTGTGAGCGAAGATCCCTTGGGAAGTCCAAATATTTGTTCATCGATGTTCCCGTTGAATGTAAAATAGGTTGTTTTTATTGTCAAGTTGATCAATCTTGTTAACGACTCCCTCCTGATCCGTTGTGATTCTAGGATAGCCTCCTCTCGGACCAGTATTTCCAGCAGGGCCATTAGCGCGTTTTCTCCAGAGATATTTGCATACATTCATTACCCATCGAAACTTGCCAATAAGTCCGTTTCTTCCAGTGCCAGGTTTTTGATTTTTCGAAAAAATTCATATAAATGTTTCACCGTGTTTAATAGCCTCTCATTTAATTTCTTGAGATTCAAACATATAAACTTTGCCTATTTGTGTGTTGCTCCATACTTCTTGTTGGATATCCGCCTTTCTTTGCCTATCTTCGCTAGTCCGTAGGCTGTTGGTGGTCGTGCATCCTTTCTTATGATTAAATTTATTGTCCATGCGTCAATCTTCCCATTAAAATGCATATCACTTAAGATTCCATTGATCTTCATTGTTGGGTCCTTGTCAAGTATACGATATGTGGTCCTGTCTCGTAGAACTTGCTCCATCTTCTCAGTATATTGTCTTTTTGTCAATTATCACTGAAGCTCCTCCTTTGTCCGCCTGAAGGACTAATTGTTCATTTCTGTCCAGAGTTTTGCGTCTCACGGCAAATATGTTCCTGTGTGTAGGCTCATGATGTGTCAAGATGTTAGGAATTAGTTCCATCTCAATTTCCCGTTTTGTCTCCTCAGGGAAATAGTCGACGATATTGATAACCTCCATCAGGTTGTCTCCAAGACGGCCTTGAGAAATAGCGCCTGGAGTGAAATGCACACTGCGACTGAAACCGAGCGAAATCAGTCAACCAGAAAGATAAGGAACGGAGCTACGAGACAATGAGGGGATCTGGATTGGAGGCCCGAGTCGGATAAGCCGATCGAAAGAGAGGGGGTCAGGGTGAAGAGCAAGTAAGATGAGGGCACACTAGATTTGCCACAAAAGGGCATACATTTTGACGAGTAGAATGTAAACAAATGAGAAGTTGGGATAGGGCGGCAGTGGGATAAGAGGACAAAGAGTAGATAGATAGGCCATGACAGAAAGAGGAGTGATAGTGTATCCGTTTCTGGCAAAATGTTTGTCGAGGGATTGACTTCGCTTGTCTCTTTGACGAGTTGTAATATGGTGCTACGAATGGCAAAACTCACTGACGATGCCGACTATGATGTCGGAGAAACGTCTGGGAGTGTACTACGTCCACGGTCCGACTTTGTAAATGATGATGCATACAATGGACTCCGGACGAGGTGCGTTTCTCTAGGTCTTCCTGCCAATATGACCAAATTGCGAAAACAAAGTCAAACAATCTTCTTTTAGTTTTAGACAAAGCTAACTTTCCACGAGGAAAGGTTTCACTGACTCGTCCGATACTGCTAGTTGCAGAGATATTGCAGTACCCTTCATTCTGTTTAAAGAAGTGAGTGTAAGGGATTAATAGGTTGGCCTCACCCGAAGATGTAGGGGGATTGTCTTCGAGTCGTAACTGTAAATTTATGCGAATACGTCATCGGCACACCACACTGCTAGCCCGATGAATCCTTGCTTAGCTTGCATCCATCATGTGATGGACATCGTCAGAACAGGACACTAAATCTAGCGGTACTTGACCAAGCATAAAAACAAGATGACCGACTGCAATCCTGCATACTTCTTATAGCCTCACTTTGTCCACTTAATGAGACACCGCATGATTTGCTTGGCGATCTCATGCGTCTGCTGCATGCAATTGAAAAATGAGGTAATCCTATCCAACAGCCACAAGTAGTTCCCACTTAATTTCCTACACTCACTACTTTTATTTAGGATGTTGGATGTCTTGTTGACTTCTATAGATTGTCTTACTGGTATACTCTCCGTATCCAGCTAAGAGTTTGGCATTAGACCAGTCTATATAATGCCGTA